TTCTTTGCATTTATATACATTGTTCAACTACATGTGCATTTTTATTGACCTTGTTATCGATAAATAAAATGAAAAAATATAAACCATTTATCATTCATTGTTACTTTTATTTTTTCATTTCTTTCATTTGGGCTGAATGTTTGTGCAACCTGCATAAAGTCAAGATCTTTCACATCTGGTCCGACTAATTTTATCAATTGTTTAACTGCATACGGACAAATACATGTATCTACTATTTTGGAAGTTCAAACATCCATTTTCCGAGGCAAATGGATTACATTTTTTGGTTGAGACGCAATGGCTGCATTTCATATCCGTGGTCTTCTCGTTTTGGACGAGCACGGTAAGTTAACTTAGCCACTTTTCATTAAAATTGGGGGAGCAGCCGACATGTTTTACGATTTATTTTATACAAAAAAACGCATAGACTGGGACGCTTTTTTAAGGTCGACTAAATTCTAGTATGCGCCGTTTTATTCCGTATTAAACTGAAATTAATTGAAAGAAAGATAACTCTGCTCATTCAATATTAGAACCGTCTACCAAATTACGTCATTTCCTTTAAAGAAGCGGAAGGAATTTCCAAATGATATTTACGGAGGAAAAATTAATTTGCGTCCCCATGGACGCACACTTCGAGTAATTGAGGGTCCTAGGTTACTATTTTTGCGTCAAGGACGCAGGAAATGTGCGTCAATAGAAACCCTGCGCCCGTTTTATAAGCTTTGGTCCGTGTCCACGTGATCTAAAACAACCAATGGATGGAGTCTCAGAAAGAGGGGTGTGACCCTTTTAACCAATAAATTACTGTCCGGCGACCGTTAGCCAATGAAATCAATGAACGGTAAACGGCAGGAATTACAAACTACCGGTCATTTTCTGAGACTCCACTCATGATATAATGACTTTTACTCATCAACAGTAAGTAATATGTATGTAAAACTTATAAAATACAATGCTTGGTAAAATAACAATCATTTTGATATACAACACTATGACAAAAAGTGACTGATCTTCATATAATCAACAAAAATAGGTTACTGAACGGCGGCTGAGTTACAGACGCTCCAAATGGAACTTAGCTATTCAAAAGCAAAATCGTAAAATATAACAATAATTCATAATTTCAAGTGACTGTGAAGTGTTTCTGAGACGAAACAATATAAAGGCATATTTCCTATTGGTTAAGTCAGTCCTATAATGAGTAATTATCACATAAACGTAAAAATCGCAGAGTCACCAACTACAACAACAACAACAAAAATGTCAGCCTCCATGAATTTGTGTAAATGTAAGGAGGAAATCATTAAATACATGAGATTAAGTAACATAGTAAGTGATATTGTAGGATATTTCTTAAAGACTCACAGTTAACAAGGTAAATGCCTACATGTTTAACAATTTCATGAACTCTGCAACGAATTATACAAGCTAAGAAATGACAATCTGTGATTTCTTACACTATATCAGTGATTTTAGTGTAATATGATATATATCACATCTGCCATAAGTACGAGGTTTTTTCCTTGGACTCTAAAATTGTTAAGATATCAAATAAGTGGAATATCATGTAGGCCAATCCTTCACATAAACTTACTTTATTTCTTATCTTATGACACGTGTTTTCTATCCTAATGTATCTATGTATAGATATTATAAGTTCCTCTTAATGATTGACAGAAAGTCTTGAGAAACAGACATCACTGACACCACTCCCCTTTACCGTTACGTTACTGTATATGCTTTTATAAAACACGCTTGCACATATACTATTTGCTTAAAGCTGTAAAATTGTGGTGTGGTCCAATCATTTATAATCGATCAATTGGTTCAAGAAATATGTATTTCTATTTTCAGTCCTAAAAGAAGTATCATGGTATCTATATATATTATAACAAACTAAGATGCAATAGCCGCGGTTAAGTTATGATTTTTCAATCGGCTCACTATTAGTTTAACAGTTCTAGTGTCCCATCAGGACTAACGTAAAGATTAAAGACCATTTAAAGATGAGGTGGACCAAGTTTGGTGATGGTCCAAATATTCTTTCATGTTTTTAAATATTTTTCTATGACTTTGATGGCTTCTAAATGATCCAAATGTTATATTTTTGTCTATTAGTTAATTTCAATCCGTCGCTACATACTTCCTAAATGTGTAGTTAGGTAAACCTTTTAGAAACGACTGTTTGACGGTGGAAGACGAATGTTTGAGTAGAGTTACTAGTAGTTCTATGATGTAATTTTATCCAACACATAACTCCCTCATGGGCACGCAGCTAGCAGCGGTTTGGATACATTCATAACGAGGCTACAGCGGCTAAGGGTTAAAGCCAAATTAATAACTGTGAAAAAGTTCTTTTTTGGGTTATGGCAGAAGATCATCAGGTAGGCACCTACATAAAATTTAAACTTGAATTAAGAATGATAAAAATCATTTATGATACCTATACTAAAAACAGTTTATTAGGAAAGGAAATACCATAATTAATGATAATTCGATTATTAGAAATGAGTAATTACCTTATAATGTGTTGCAATGCTTTACCAAAATTGTATTATCAATTCACGCTTATGATACCTATTATTTATTCAAAACACACACGTATTATTGATTTTGACAAATGATATTCATAATCCCAAATTTGATGGATGCCACATCAAATAAGTTCTTATAAGTATCAACTCATTTTGATGGATGCCACATCAAAAGAGTTACAAAATACACTTGTATAGGTGGATGCCACGCCAAATGCATGAACGCGGACAAAAATTTCGGTTTGGTGGACAATAATATTCAAACGACATTATTAAATTGATGTGTCACCAATGAAAGCAGTTAAACAGATATTTATTGCTTTTATTCATATACATGTATATATTGATGAATTACATGCTAATAGAACCAATAAATATGGAAAACATTTTCAGTGATTATTCTCCGTGACAAAAATTCAAATATTCTATAAAAATCATACTCTGAATAAATATGTGGGGCCCATGAGGGAGTTATGTGTTGGATAAAATTGTATGATTAAGCTAGACTCACCTTCGTAGAAGGAAAGGCGAAGGTTGATCATAATTTTATCCTACACAAACTCCCTCAGGGCTCACACACCAACCCACAACCACCCGTCTATAACTAGCATTTTCATATAATATTTCAATTTTCTGTCAGAACTACATGAGTTATATTCTAAAATATGAATGTATCCGAACCGCTGCTAGCTGCGGCCAGAATCTGTGTGAGCCCTGAGGGAGTTTGTGTAGGATAAAATTATGATCAACCTTCGCCTTTCCTTCTACAAAGGTAAGTCTAGCTTAATATAATGTTGTGATGTAGGTTACAGGAAAACTTGTTTAGCTAGACACATTAAAGTAAAGCTATATCAGGCTCTCACCATCTTGGTTTGAGAGGAGGACCTGTATACGGATTTAGGCATTATATTACAATAATGAAGTGAGCCCACAAAATAGCCCAATCAAACTGAGCCCAAGACAATTTCAGTTTGGTCGTGTTGGACAACCTTCCAAATTTCCTTTTTTTCCTGTTATACACATACATAAATTGTTACCCTCAATATTCAACATTTACAATAGTTCCTGAATTTTTCAAACTGATGCTTATCACTCCAACATGTATATTGTAACGATCAGGCCCATCATTTTACGTCCGAAAATAAACCCGTATCCGGAAACTACTCAAGTACTAAAGTAATTAACTGTACTTCATGACATCAACTTTTAATCATCAAAACATACACTGCATGTACAGATAACTTCATCCTTTTAATATTTACGATGGTTATATTACTTAAAATAACTTATTTTCTACGTTGTAGCCGTTTTAATGTTCACTTAGCCACACGCTGCCAATTTAAACATGGCAGCTGGTACTGGCTAAATTTCTGCCCGCGCGAGCTAGGCAGTGACGTCATCGGAGACGATGACGATACTGCCAAGCTAGGCACCCTAGCCAAGCTAGCCACCCAGCGTCCCAGACTATAAATAGCAGCCCGAATCTGCCAAAATTGTCAGTACCTTGGTAGATAGCCACCAGACCACACCTTAGTTTCATTCTATATGAATATGGATGTATCTCCAGCCACCAGAAAGATATATAATACTTTATGCCAGTAACAGTTTATATAGAAGCTTTATATTTTAAATCATCTAGATTGGCAGTTTGGCATAATATTAACATTTATGATAGATCCAGACTGAAGACCAAGTTTCCATAGCCATAATCCCATATTTTATAGTGATACCCATATACCAGGGTAGAACAACACTGTATTCTGTAGTTACCATTTAGATACCCCATCAACCTTATAGCATTTCATGGTAATTCCTACCATAGATAGCTACCAGACCACAGGCAAGACGTGACACCGTATTTGTCAAGCCTTTCATTTCATCTTATATTATACATTATTCTAGACGTAACAGAAGAACATTCCTGACCGAAGACGAGGAGCCCAAGCCAGAGCCAGCCACATAATATACTATATACGAATTTTATTGTTTGTGAAATGTATATTTAATAAATTGTTGTGTTAATCTTATTTCAGGTGTCCGTATCTTTTAGTCCTTGTGTCCCTATTTTCCCTTATCCATTTACGTGTGTTTGAGAAGAACCCACGTGTCGATATTGAAGTGTGTCCGGGCTAGCAGACCCCGGGTACGTTTCAATATCCTACCAATATTAAATTGAGCCACGCCATGACAAAACCAACATAATGGGCTTGCGACCAGCAAGGATCCAGGCCAGCCTGCCAATCTGCACAGACTGATCAGGATCCATGCTGTTTGCTATCAGTTTCTCTACTTATTATAGGGTTTGAAAATAAGCGAACAGCATGGATCCTGATCAGATTGCGCGGATGTGCAGGCTGGTCTGGATCCATGCTGGTCGCAAACCCATTATGTTGGTTTTGTGATTGCGTGGCTCAATTATGTAAATTAACCGTTGTGTGGGTTTTCATAAAAAGACAAAATAACTTAAGAATTACATATTTTATATAAATGATTTGCAACTGAGTTAAAACAATTAACAATTTCATCATTTAAAGAACAGTAAATGAATATGGAATAAATTTATCTGTAGCAGAAAATGACTGTTTAAGACTGATGGTATATATATATGTATATTTAATTGACAGAACGAAAGGACAAACCAGGAGATACACTGAATGTTAATGTACATTGTATATAATATTATTGATATGATTTCCAAAGTATGAACACAGCTTTATATATAATCCTATTTTCTATAATCAGCTTAAGTCAAAACAATCTTAATAAGTATGGTGTCACTAATTACTTGGTTGTTTTATTTCAAATACATTGAACATTTTTTCTTTTTAATCTTACGGTACATTATAAAACAGCTTACAGTGGTAAAGTAAAATGTGAAACATCATAACACCATTCCAGATACAGTTACATTCATAGAAACATGTACAATGTAAAGTCACTAACAATAAAATAAATATCAGCATATTATTTATACAGTAACAAAATAACAAATGTTAATGTAAAAATTCTTACATTATAACCGTTGCACAATTTTGATCATTTATAATAGCTGTCAACTAAATATAGTTGAATATTTACTATCACAACAACAGTACAAACTCTTCAAACTAGAAGAGTATAAATATTACATTTCTTTTATTAGACCTTGAACACAAATATAAACAGATGTTTCACTACTAATTCAGAAAATGTCTTTTTAATTGGAAGCTAGAAAACTGTTCCCTTTATATAACCAAAAGAAATCTGTAAGTTTTGCAATGACAGACTTCTCTGAAAGATATTGTTTAGTATTGATAGCATTAGCAATAACATTGACTGGATATAAAAAAGCAGATCTGTTTCAATTAAATTTCTGTCAACAATATCTACGCTTAAAAAATGTACTGTATATAAAATATCCATACTGTATGTACACGATATATGTACACATTTCTCTATCATACATCAGGCATTTAGCCATCAACATTCACATTGTAAGAGTGATCTCCCCTTCTCATTGACAATGTTCTCAGGATAATATACATCCACTGTTGTTCTTAGGATCTTTATCTGACATAGGAAATTCCTTCTCTTTCACTGGTGGCAGCTCCTTTGGCTTCTCCTTGTCTTTATCCTCCTTCTGACCAGGCAACTTTAATACAAGATTAACACTGATTTTACATGGTAACTTAAACTGATGTAAACACTTATCTTACATAGCAACTTAAACCTAGAGATTACATAGCCACTTAAACCTAGAGATTACATAGCCACTTAAACCTAGAGATTACATAGCAACTTAAACCTAGAGATTACATAGCAACTTAAACCTAGAGATTACATAGCCACTTAAACCTAGAGATTACATAGCAACATAAACCTAGAGATTACATAGCAACTTAAACCTAGAGATTACATAGCCACTTAAACCTAGAGATTACATAGCCACTTAAACCTAGAGATTACATAGCAACTTAAACCTAGAGATTACATAGCCACTTAAACCAACTTAACATGCCTAGCAACTCAAATGCAAAATCAACACCTTTTAATTTCAAGGCCTATTTCAACATGTGCTTTTCAACACATGCTTTTCGTCACATTTTGGCAGCTAACCAAATTACTTGCTTACCTGGATAACTTATCAGGAATTACCAAATCTAAACTACTATTCCTACATTTTTTTCTGAATCAGAGTTGCGAGTCAAATGACCATTTTAGACTTTATGTCCAAAATAAATTGTCATGGAGAAATAACCCCTCACCCGAGGATTGAATAATGAACTCCTTGTATAGTAATTACTTATCCGATGCTGACAGCAGGATGATTATTAAAATAAGCAGTTATCTAATTGGCAACAATTAAACAAAATTTAATTCAGCAGTATTTTACCCAAAGATTTTCATCATGGACCTAAAAGCAATACTAGTAACACACTTTCAACAAGTACATCATACTAAACATGGTAACATTGATTTCAAAACTATTTTACAACACGATCAGAGAAATCATTTAACATTTTAAAGTATTATTATCATTAACTAGCCTATATATTATTTTAGTGTGTTTATATCCCTTAAAAATGCTTTGCACAGTTAAACATACTTATTTTATTATTACAGCTCAAATTGACACATGCACATCATTTAAAAAAGGCAAACCAAGTATCACCTATTCATCTAAATGACAAAACAAGAGCTTCTCTAACTTATCCATTTAAGTATCTTATATAACTAGCCAATACCTGAGGTCCTGGTTTTGGTACCATTTTAGAATCCATCTTCTTATAGACATCAACTGACCACAGTGGGCTTAAATCTGCTGGTTTGAATTCTTCTGGACTTACCAGTCCAAATGTAGCCTTCAGTTCTAGTATTGGTGGGTCATACGCAACTTTCTGATGGTAACTATTGAAAACAAAATAATAAAACAGTAAAGTATCCATTATTTGCAATGGGTTTGTTAAAACCGACAGAATACTGTTGAAGTAAAATACTAAATCTCAGATTAGTATTTAAGTAACATAAAATTACTTTAATGATGACTTAGCATCACAAGTAATTGTGTGCAGGTTCATACTAAAATTAACAACATACATCATATTAAGGAGTGTTGTGTCAAAATTAAAAGAGTACAATACATGATAAAAACATGAACAATTTCTCAATTCACTTCCTAAACTACATGTAGTATGGCTGTCATAAGAGGAAATAAGTTGATAACCTAGGTATTTATCCGAGTTTTATCCCTAGTTTAGGTGGTAAGCAATATACATGTATGTCATAAGGCCATATCTCTCTATTTATTAAGACTAGCTATCCAGCTTTCTTGATGCTAAAAAGAAAATATATAAAGGAGACTTTCAATATGTTTCTTCAACTTGAGTATGATGAACTTTTAATCAGTAACTTTCTGATATAAGAGAACCATAACCCTCAAATTAAATACGAATCTTTAATAATGAGCAATAAAAAATACTAATCATCTTCAGTAAACTCCACTTATTACAATATTCAGGAGACTGCTGAACTTATATTGTTATTTCCCTGAAGCTACCAATTTTGAAAACAAGATTGGGAACCACAACAACACATCATCTTAGGCGCTATATCCTTTAAGTGATATTGATATGAGAGGAGTTTACTGTATATGAAAGAGCAGCCTTACATCAACCCATTTTCTCGTTCACATTTATCCAATGTTCTCTTCATGACTGGTCCTAGACGTCTGAAGAAAATATGGTTGAGTGGTTTTGCTTGCGTACCAGGACCTTTAGTTGTAGAATAATCTTTGCATATGACAGCAGCCTTGTCATAACCTGTAATATATTTATTATTTGATTACTAGCTTCAACAATGCCAGCCAAGAATGATGGTCAGTATTGTGACAGCGTAACCTCAAATAACAGGCAGTTAAAGCTGACCAATACCTGTTACCAAGCTGAATTTAGTAAAATGATATAAAAATCTTTAATATTCAAACAGGATGAGTTGATCATTGCAAAAACTAATAAAACAAATGGATGTCACAAACTTCAAATCCATACAGGAGAAAAGTAACACACTCTTGCCCACATTAGTGAATATTTGTATGTATACGTTTTAATCTGGCTATGAACATCGATTTAAAGGAATACTTTGAAAATTTTACTTCTCTTGAGAAGCTACTACTGGTAGCATATGGCATAAGACGCTTTTATTAAAGTTCACTTTTCAAAATCAAGAAATAAAGTAAGAAAACATACATGTTATACCCTCCTGTAGACCCCTAATTGCCTCGCCACATTTATCCTGGGCCAGTAAACCCTCAGCATTATAACAATGTGCCTGCAAACAAAGAATATTAATTAAGTTCTGCATGCTTACATACATTTTAAGACCTACTGAAAATTCTTACAATTGATTAGCTACTGTCTTATAATTATTGAAAAATTAAATACTTTGTCATAAAACATTTGTTTATATAGCAACAAAAAGAAAACAATTTATTGGCAATAATTGTTAATTACATAAAAATGTAGTAAGAACATAAACATTATTTCATGACGTTCCAAAAACTGTTTCTCTCAATTTTCAAACATTCTGTGGAGCTTTACTGTATAATTATCATTATTAAATACAATATGTACTATTAAAGATGTTACAGTCCTTTTCTAATAAATTCAAAATAGGACAGGATAATCTCTTACATGAAAATGTCACATTAAACACTTTGCCTGCTGGCAGCAATTGATACATCCCATGTTACCTGAGTACAGACAAAAATCAGCAGGCATGTCAGACCTGTCTGATCAGGGTCTGCACTGGTTGCTATTTAGTCATTACATATCTTTTTTTTTCTTTTTTGATAACTTGATGAAAGATAGACAAGTCCAAAAGTGTTAATTTATACATATAACTGAATTCTGTACAAGTTTACTTGGTACAATGCATGTCAAATATATGAGTGAAATAAATCATGTAATTTCAGTAAATGAATCCAGTATTCAGGGAAAAATGGAAATATCTTTATGGCAAATGAGTTCTATATATTTGTTTAGGAATTATGATATAAATCAAAGTTTATCAGGTAAAAGACAAACTATATGTGATGTTATCATCCTTTTTTCATTTGTGGTTTACTTGTTTTATTTCAAAAAGGTGGACTTAAGCAAATAAATTTACAATTTGACAGAAAGCTAATAATGTGTTCCATTTTCAATTAGAAATTAAGCACCTGGTATTTATTAGAAAGGAAATGATTATTTCTGTCAAAAATGTCACTATTTTCTAATATATTGTACTGACTACTTCTTTCTTCATCAAATCAGAATTTTTTTTTCATTATAATTAAAAGAAATAAAAAGATTATCATGTTTACAGCAGCAATATATCCATAGAATCTATATCCACCTTCATTCAACCTTCATCAGCAGTACACTATCAACAAGACAGCCATATTGGCCCAGTATTGCTCACCCAAATGAATTTAACATCAGTTCATTAGATGTTGACTGGATTTTCCCCTATTTTACTATATCTTCAATGGCAGTTCAACACTTATTAAATTGTTGTGAATGACAAGTTCATCAGTTTACAGAAAGAAGATGCTATAATCATCAGTGGTCCCTAATAGCCCAGTCAAAATGTTTTTTGCACAATCTTAAAAATGATGATACCAGATTTGGTAATGATCCATTAAATTGTTAGTCTATTTTTAGTAACTGCATGTAGATGAAAAGCGTAAACATGAACCTTGACCATAACTATTTAGGAAAGCTTTATATACAAATACTTAATACCAATTTAAGTGATCTATTCCATGGTTCATATTTTTAGCATTGGTGGCTAATAAAAACAGGTCAATAATTATAATATGAGCAAAGTTCAGCAAGGGGCTCATAGGAAAAGCAAATCTTAACTTCACCAGTGGAGTTGAACACTCATATTAGGAAAATGATCATTCAACCAAAAACAATAGCTCACCATGCATCTTTTGTTATGGTGAAAGAAACACGATCATACTTAAACGCACATAAATCTAAGTATGTATTATCTGAACATAATCTGTATACATGTTGAATATAGAGGGTACTGACTTTCAACTGGTTTAACAAGTAGCCACCAGCAAAATATCATCAATAGATAACAGGATAGATCATAGCCATTTTTACCTGATTCATAACTTACTTAAGTATGCATTTATACACACTGTCCAATAATGTTCAAACATAATTTGATTAAAGAGTATAAAGATATATGAAATATTATGTATAAAACTTATAAACAGTAAAATTATATTGTTTCAATAATTTTATTGTAGCTTCTTAAATGAACTGTATTTTAGATTATCTCTATTATTTACCACACATGCTATACATACACAGAAACAAAATATTATCCTGCTATATTTAGTAGGGTTTTTACTTTCAAGCAATTATTTTGTTAAAATGCCATTTAACAGATATATAGCTTTATACACTTTAACATTGGTATACAAAGTATGCTTACTAAAAAATTTAAATATACCATGTCATAATGTCCCATTAGAGAAAACAAAACAATTTGAAATAAATATTTTAATTTTCTTATTTTATTATGTTATCATGAATTCAGCTTACAATATTATTTTCAGGCATGGTATTTTTAACATGAGTTGAACAGAAGAAGTTCCCTAAACTTTAACTGGATGGTTAACTGCACATGTTTCTAAATAAACTTATACAGTATTTTGCATTAAACACACAATTTCGACGTTTAAAGCACAAAAATGGGTGTGGCCGACAGAACATTGAGGTATGGATGGAACTCATGAAGGTACATCTGCATACACAGTTTGAATTTCCTAGTTCAATGCACTGTGGACTATGTTATTTTTTGTTATAACAGGACAAAGTAACATTGACTTTTAAAATGAAAATGGGTGAGGCAGGTAGAACTCATCAAGATGCATCTACAAATGAAGTTTCAGCTTTTTTTTTTTTTTTAGTTTCAGCTTTTTTTTTTTGGTATTGAAGTTTATGACCACAAATGAACGATGCTATGTGGATCTTGACAACAGCTCCATTTATTAAGAGGAGCTTAACATGATACTTATCCATAATAAACACCGCCCAATCTGGCCCTGAATCAGCCTGACAAAGAAAAACTGTAAAGTATGATTCAGCCTGACAAAGAAAGATACGTAGAGTATGATAAGTAAAGATTGAGAATTATATGACATAAAATTAGTAACTACATGTGTAAGTATTGAGGTATCAAAGATAATATCTTACATGTGCAATATAAAAATCTGACTTCAGTTGAAAATATTTCCTCCATTTGCCAACTATTTTATCATCCAGGCTTGCCAAGGCATCATCTATATTAAAAAACAGATGTGGATAAATATCACTTTATGAAATAATGGAAATTTGATATTATATCAAATGAGAGTAGAATATAACAAAGACAATTAATATTACCACTTAATTAGAGAACTAACAAAGCCAACAATAGACACAACCTCACATCAAGAATATTATTTCTGTTTTATATAACAATTTTTTGTTAGAAACACAGCTGTAAGTTCCAAAACACCTGATCAATACATCAGGATGGGAATAAATTTGAATAACGATTTTTACAAGCGTACTCTTTGAACAAAATGTTTTATTGAGTAGACTATAAGAAAAATACTTATGTCAATAATTTAGATATGGCAGGTTCATAAAAAATTCAAAAATATTCTTTTAAACATATGGCTAAATATATGTTACATTTCTAAGCAGAAATTATATTTGGAATAAAGAATGCTTTCTAAAATCGTCATTCAAAATGAGTTTTTTTTCTTAAAGAGCATATTATGAAAAACTTTGTCACTCAAGGAGCCGTGTATATAATGTCTTAACCCTTTCACTTCAAACTTAAACTTCTTATTCCTAAGATGTCTCTACATTATTTTCAAAGTGAAAGGGACATAACTCTGCCAAAAATTCATCGAACCATGACCAAATTCCAACTTGACCTGCACATTCCTTTGACATATCCATGTCAAATTTGAGTTGTTGGGTAGATAATGAACAGAAACAGTAAATTTCATATTATTTTCAAAGTGAAAGGGGCATTACTCTGCCAAAAATCATTGAACCATGACCAAATTCCAACTTTGCCTGGGCATTCCAAAAACATATCCATATGTTAAATTTGAGTTAAATGTGTTGTACCGTTGGGGAGATAATAAACAGAAACTGAAAATTTCATATTATTTTCAAAGTGAAACGGGCATAACTCTGCCAAAAATCATTGAACCATGACCAACTTTGAACTTGACCTGCGCATTTCTGTGACGTATCCATATGTAAAGTTTGAGTTGAATGTGTTGTACCATTGGGAACATAATGATCGGAAACTGAAAATTTCATATAATTTTCAAAGTGAAAGGAGCATAACTCTGCCATAAATCATTGTTTGATTGTTTGTTTGTTTGTTTCATTTTACGCCTTTTTCCAACAGTATTTCAGTCATATAGGCAGGTAGTTTCCTAACCATCGTTCCTGGAGAGTTACACCAGTACTAGACTACCTTCCTCCGCGCTAAACTACCAAAGCATCTCCTGGGGATCAAACCCACGCCAGAGAGGCAAAATCATTGAACCATGACCAAATTCGAACATGACCTGTATTTTCTCACGACATATCCATATGTCAAATTTGAGTTGAATGTGTTGTACCGTTGGGGAGATAATGAACGGAAACTGAAAATTTCATATTATTTTCAAAGTAAAAGGGGCATAACTCTGCCAAAAATCATCGAACCATGACCAAATTCGAACTTGACCTGTATTTTCTCATGACATATCCATATGTCAAATTTGAGTTAAATGTGCGCAACCGTTACTAAGATAATGAACGGAAACTGATGATGACGGAATGACGGAATGACAGAATGACGGAATGAAGTCATTTGACTAGTGTAGAATTTAAAAAGTAGACACAAAATGAATTTCGACCTTAAAGAATGACCTTGAGTCTGCACAGTGGAAGCATGTCTTTTGCAAACTGATATGTTGAGGTGAACATGTTAGGTTGAAGGATTTTTAGGGCAGACAAAAAAAATTATGATATTTAACCTTCAAGGGTGATCTTTAACCTGAGCGGCTGCAGTTGTGGCAGATATTCTGCACATCGTCTGGTAGAGGTGAATATCTGAGAGTAATGTTTGATGAAAATTTATTAGAGGTGACAAATAATTGTCTCATTTTTGACCTTTGACATTCAAAGGTGACCTTGACCTTAAGCTGGCACAACAGTGTCATGGTCTGCACATGAACATTTGTGGTAAGTTTGGAAATCCTTCAAGAGGTATTATAAAGTAGACGGAATGGAGATGGTTGGAGCAACTGCCTGATGTTCAAGTATAGCCCCTTCCACATTATGTGGTGAGGGTATAATTTATATTAGAAAATTTAATTTGTGTAAATTATCACAAATCACACTGCTTAACATTCCATTGTTCATCTTTGGGAATTTACAATGCCATCTAGATATACTAAAATTAGGAAGCAATAGATATTAGCTGCAGCACAAAAATGAGGGTTACCAATGAATCATTTTACCAAATTATGCTTAACAAAAAATGGTCATTTTGTTAAACATGAGATTTTCTTAGATAAATAAATTCATATAAAGTACAGAAAATATTCCTATTAGCATAAAAGTCCAACCATCCTTAAAGCTCATCAAAATAATAATAATTATACCACTTTCACTGCCATAGGGACGGCTTTATCCGTCCCTGTTATTTTCGGCGTATTTGCCATATGGACGGCTTTAGCCGTTTCTATAATAATTATAGTAATAATAATAAATTAAAACCTAGAAATGTGTCATCATGCCACGGATGCCCCTGCATGCAGCCAAAATTTCAGATGTTATAATATTTAGTTCCAAATTTGTTTGCACAAATTATTTTTTTCATTTTAAGTTCAAAGCCCTTAAAACTTTTCAATGTAAACACAAACCATTTTCATACAATGTTCAAGGCACTGAAATTATTCAGTCTAAACCTTTTGAAAATAGCATATTTCATATTTGTAGCCAAAATAATGGCTACATACATTTCAGTGCTGAAACTGAAAGTTCAAAATTGTTCCAACATTCAAGAAAGATAAGTTTGTCCAAAATCATTGAACCACGACCAAATTCAAACTTAAACTTCTTATTCCTAAGATGTCTCTACATTATTTTCAAAGTGAAAGGGACATAACTCTGCCAAAAAATCATCGAACCATGACCAAATTCCAACTTGACCTGCCCATTCCTTTGACATATCCATGTCAAATTTGAGTTGTTGGGTAGATAATGAACAGAAACAGTAAATTTCATATTATTTTCAAAGTGAAAGGGGCATTACTCTGCCAAAAATCATTGAAACCATGGACCAAATTCCAACTTTGCCTGGGCATTCCAAAAACATATCCATATGTTAAATTTGAGTTAAATGTGTTGTACCGTTGGGGAGATAATAAACAGAAACTGAAAATTTCATATTATTTTCAAAGTGAAACGGGCATAACTCTGCCAAAAATCATTGAACCATGACCAACTTTGAACTTGACCTGCGCATTTCCTGTGACGTATCCATATGTAAAGTTTGAGTTGAATGTGTTGTTACCATTGGGAACATAATGATCGGAAACTGAAAAATTTCATATAATTTTTTCAAAGTGAAAGGAGCATAACTCTGCCATAAAATCATTGTTTGATTGTTTGTTTGTTTGTTTCATTTTACGCCTTTTCCAACAGTATTTTCAGTCATATAGGCAGGTAGTTTCCCTAACCATCGTTCCTGGAGAGTTACACCAGTACTAGACTACCTTCCTCCGCGCTAAACTACCAAA